ACCGATCAAGTACCGAATGCACGACACCTCCACGACTTGCACACGTTCAGTTCGGTGACGTCCCTCGAACTCTAGATCCAGCTAAGGCCAAGGGAGAGTTTCGTCAGCACGACGGCGTGGTGACGGTGATGATGACCGACGCAGGGCTTCGCCTAAGCACTTTGACAATATGACCGAGGTGGAAAACTGTGGAGGGGGGCACCGCACATGGCTAAAAGATCAACTTTTGTGTCTATGGGGTGCCCCCTGGCCACGTATATAAAGGAGGGAGGAGGAGGAGGCCGGCCTAGGAGGGGCTCTCCTATGGGGGGAGTCCAACTAGGATTCCCAATCCTAGTTGGGGTCCTCTTCCTTTTCCAAGAGGTGGAGAGAGGGAAGGAGGAGAGGGAGAAGAAAAGATGGGGGCACCCCCTCCTAGTCCAATTCAGACCAGCCCATGGGGGGCACATTGCCTCCCCTTGTGGCCCTTCTCTCCTTTCCACTAAAGCCCAATAAGGCCCAATACTTCCCCCGGTGAATTCCCGTAACTCCCCGGTACTCCGAAAAATACCCGAATCACTCGGAACCTTTCCGATGTCCGAATATAGCCTTCCAATATATGAATCTTTACGTCCCGACCATTTCGAGACTCCTCGCCATGTCCGTGAGATCATGCGGGACTCCAAACAAACTTCGGTCATCAAATCACATAACTCATAATACAAATCGTCATCGAATGTTAAGCGTGCGGACCCTACGGGCTCGAGAACTATGTACACATGACCGAGACACATTTCCGGTCAATAACCAATAGCGGAACCTGGATGCTCATATTGGATCCTACATATTCTACGAAGATCTTTATTGGTCAAACCGCATAACAACATACGTTGTTCCATTTGTCATCGGTATGTTACTTGCCCGAGATTCGATCGTCGGTATCCTCATACCTAGTTCAATCTCGTTACCGGAAAGTCTCTTTACCCGTTCTGCAATGCATCATCCCATGGCTAACTCATTAGACACATTACTTGCAAGGCTCATAGTGATGTGCATTACCGAGAGGGCCCAGAGATACCTCTCCGGTACACGAAGTGACAAATCCTAATCTCGATCTATGCCAACTCAACAAACACCATTGGAGACACCTGTAGAGCATCTTTATAATCACCCAGTTACGTTGTGACATTTGATAGAACACAAGGTGTTCCTCTGATATTCGGGAGTTGCATAATCTCATAGTCATAGGAACATGTATAAGTCATGAAGAAAGCAATAGCAATAAACTAAATGATCATAGTGCTAAGCTAACGGATGGTTCTAGTCCGTCACATCATTCTCTAATGATGTGATCCCGTTCATCAAATGACAACACATGTCCATGGCTAGGAAACTTAACCATCTTTGATTAACGAGCTAGTCAAGTAGAGGCATACTAGGGACGCTCTGTTTGTCTATGTATTCACACGTGTACTAAGTTTCCGCTTAATACAATTCTAGCATGAATAATAAACATTTATCATGATATAAGGAAATATAAATAACAAATTTATTATTGCCTCTAGGGCATATTTCCTTCAGGCCTTGCCACAAAATATCATGTCAGCTCTATATAATAATGCAAAGCAATATGGCAATGAATGCTCACGCCATGTGAATAGTAATAGTGAAAGTTGCATGGCAATATATCTCAGAATGGCATGGAAATGCCATAATAGATAGGTATGGTGGCTGTTTTGAGGAAGATATAAGGAGTCTTATGTGCGATAGAGCATATCATATCACGGGGTTTAGATGCACCGCCGAAGTTTGCACCAATCTCAAGGTGCAAAAGGGCAATGCACGGTACCGAAGATGCTAGCAAATTGCGGAAAGGTAGGAGTATGTATAATCCATGGACTCACATTAGTCATAAAGAACTCAAATACTTATTGTGAAAGCCTATTAGCCCTCGAAGCAAAGCACGACTCGCATGCCCCTAAGGAGAAGGTTGGGAGGAGTTAACCATCGCACGCCCCCGATTCATACAACACAAAGTTAGCAATCAAGGATAAATCGTGCTCCAACTTCCTAGTTATGTCAAAACTGACACTTTCATGAATAGGAAATCACAAACCTTAACACCGATATCTTTAATAAACCAAATCATCCACTAGTACACCCACATGTTACCATCTCAATATCGCAAAATTATTGCAAAGAATCAAACATATAATGTTCAGTGATCAACAAGTTTTATGCAGCTTTTTATGACTGACCATGTGAATAATCAATTCTTGTTAACTCTCTAAATAAATATAAGTGAAGCATAAGAGTTTAATTATTTCTACAAAAGACTCGGCCAAGCTCTAACTAATATAAGTGAAGCAAAAGAGCATTCTACAAATAACTGTATTCAACATGTAGAGAAGCGACCATCCACACTTCAAAAGATATGCATGGAGCACACAAAACATTCTATAAAGCCATACTCAAAAGATATAAGTGAAGTATGAAGAGCATTCCGTAAATCAACCAAGTATTATCTCATACCAGCATGGTGCATAAAAATAAAAGGAAAAAATAAACACAAAATACGCTCCAAGAATTTACGCATATCATGTGAGCAAAACAAAAACCGAGACATATCGATAATTGTCAAGGAAGAAAGATGGAATGCCTTTCGGGGCATCCCCAAGGTTAGATGATGAGCACTAGTAGTGACAGGGGTGAAAGGCAAGGAGATGCTGCATAGATGGCGACAAGAGGATGTTACGGTGGAAACCAAATGATTGGCAATTGTAACAGGACAACGCGGATGAAATCTATAATAGAGGAATGGTTAAGTTAACAAAAGTGAGGAATGAAGAAACGATAACGAGGCAAACACGTGGAGCTACTTCTTACGACATGACAGGCTTCACACCGTTCAACGGCCACGTAGGCGCTCGTGAATCACGGTGACAACACAGTGATACATGAAGTAGTGCGAAGGCTGCTGTTGCGCTATAGAAATCTCATGAATTAAATTCGACTAGCTAATGGCGCACGTGTTGCAACATGGACATACATAACCGTGTCAGACATATATGTTATACCCATGATATTCTAGGTTCTTGTAAAATTTGACTTGATTTTAGTATAAGTAGGGAAAGACAAGGGAAGTTCTAATTTGGTTGAGTTTTAGGTAAGGTTTTATTTTATTTTATTTAGGTATAGGTATGAGAAGGCAAGGGAACTTTTGATTCAGTTGATGTTTTGGTAAGATTTGATTTTATTGAGAATGCAAAGGTTTTGGTAAAATTTGATTGAGTTAATTAAGAACATGGTTTCCACTAGGACAAGGAAATGAAAGCACATATTTGGTTTAGATTATTCCATACCAGGGGGACGAAACCACATTTGGCGACGTATAAACATCAACCCCCCTTAAAAAGTAGAAATACATGAAATAAGTTCACTCAAAACTTATGCTATTAGAAACACATGGACAATATATTAAAGTATTTGGAAATATGCATCAGTTTGTCTCTTGATGTCTCTATTTTGCCTACAACCATGTCTAAAATAGGCCAAATCCAAAATACAACTTTGATCAGGCCAAATCCAAAAAACGGGGGAATGGAATGAACCAGAGTGACAACATGGTGGCGGTAGGGGAGACTTCTGGTCGAGGCAGTTGGCGTCGATGCATGGACGAGGGAGGAATCAGGACACATCTATCTCCCGGGGAGACACAGGAAATAGAGCTTCGTTTCAGGGAGAGCGCATAATACTTCCGGTCGTGGCAGTTGGCGTCAATGCGCGGACGGAGGGAGGAAACGTGACACATTCCTCTTCCGGAAGATAGGAAAACGGAGCTCAGTTTCGAGGAGAGTTGGTAATAGTCCCGGTCGTGGCAGTTGGTGTCGATGCGCGGACGTAGGAGGAAACATGGCGGATTCCCCTCCGCAAAGATAGGGAAACGCAACTCGGTTTCGAGGAGAGTAGGTAATACTCCCGGTCGTGACAGTTAGCATCGATGCACGGATCGAGGGATGAATCAGGACGCCTCTCTCTCATGCGGGAGATACGGTAGAAAGAGCTCCGTTTTAGGAGAGCGGATAATGCTTCGGTCGTGGCAGTTGGCGTCAATGCGCGTATAGAGGGAGGAAACGCGACGCATTCCCCTCCCCAAAGATAGGGAGACAGAGCTCAGTTTTGAGGAGAGTCGATAATACTTTCGATCGTGGCAGTTTGCGTCAATGTACGACTAGACGGACGGACATTTTTCTCCCTGAAAGGAAAAATGGCCCCCGATTTTGCAAAAAGCGGATAATAAGAAATTGATACGGGGAGCCATTGGTCCATCCAGCGGTTTGCAAATAACTTTTGCTTTGCATGGACGGTTTTAATGGGTTGTCGTTCATAAATTGTCTACGCACTGTCGTCTGTATAGCAGTGCTGTTTTTATTGTCCCCCTTATCATAACTATTGGGGGGCTATAGACATGCCAAATCCAAAATACAACTTTACTCGGCACATTCATTGTTCCCACCGCGCACGGTGTTCACCTTCTTCAGCCGACGCCACCGTCCGACGAAACCGGGAACGCAACCCAACCCAACCCAACCCAAGCCGGGTCCAACGGCAAATCCACTTGTGTAACCTATAACTGAAACGCAAACCAATCGAATCGTCCCAGACGCGGTCAATTGCACTGCCCACTTCCTGCAGGTATCATTGTCGATCGCCTCCCTCCGTCCACGACTCCATCTTCTTCTCCTCTTCTCTTCGTCTCCGAACCTTATTTAAGCCCGCGGCGGCCGCGGCGTCCCTCCCCTGACGGAGGAAAGGAAAGATCCCATCTTCCCGCCCGGACACCTGCACCGCCTCCGCAAACCTACTTCCCATTTCCAAGAAGCCCGCCCGAGCTTAAACAAACCAAAAGGGAAAGCAAAGGAGGACGGCGGGTGCGCGCGTCGGCGTCGGCCGCGAGAATTTAGCGGCCGCCGCGGGCTTCCTCGTCATCGCTGGCGGCGACGGGGATGAGATGAGATGAGATGGGCATGAGGTGCAAGAGGCACCCGTTCCAGGCCGGCGGCGGCATCTGCGCCACGTGCCTGCGGGACCGCCTGCTCGTGCTCGCCGCCGCGCAGAACGACGCGTCGTCGACGCCGTCCACTCCTCCCGCCACCGCTCCCCCTCCGCCCGCGGAGGCGGCGCCGGCCCCGGCGTTCCCGAGGTCCGTGTCGCCGTACGTGTCCCGCAGGAAGTCCGACTCCTCGGGCGGCGCGCTCAGGCACCACCCGAGCCTGCTCTTCTTCCGGACGCCGCAGGTCGGCCCCGCCTACGGCGGCAGTGCCCCGCTCGAGGAAGGCGACATCGGGTACCACAAGCCGCGCGCCGGGAAATTCTCCGTGCTCGCCACGCTCTTCGGCAGCCACCACCACCGCCGCCACGGACCGGAGGACAAGGACAAAGCCAAGGAGCGCAAGAAGAGCCGTTCCTGGCTGGCCGGGATCATCCCGCGCCGTCGCAGGAAGCAGGTGCCGGCCGACGCCGTGCTGCCCGCGTCGCCGCCGCCCAGGCGCTCCTGCCGCGTGGTCAGCAACCGGGGGCTGTCGCCGGAGCGGTGCAGTCAGGGCAGCGGCGAGGAGAGCAGCTCGCCCGCCGACCCCCCGTGGCGGCCGTCCCCTTCCCCGATGCGGAGGACCCCATGCCGGCGCCGCCAGACCAGCAGCATGCCGTCGGGATTCGCCGTGTGCCTCAGCCCGCTGGTGCGGCCCAGCCCCGGACGCCGCCACCGCGCCGCGCAGCCGCCGGACTCGGGCACCTTCTCCTCCGAGCTGCGGCCGTCGCCGCTCCACAGCGCCGCCTCCGTCGGACGCTGCCGCTCACGGAAGCTCGCCGACGGCGCTCGCTTCCGGTGATCCCTTCCTTTTCCTTCTTCTCCTTGATTCTTCTCTAGTTTTCCTTCATCACCAAACCCCAATCACCACTCTTACTAGTAGCTTTCTGTGGATTTTTACATCATGTCCATTTGTGAAGAAGAGTCCGCGAGATTTCATACTCGGAGAACATTCCGTTGACATATACTACAACTACTCCTAGATTTTTACTCTGCTTGCTTGCTTGGTTGCTTGCGAGCCGAACAATTTGCGAGACTGCAACGAGCTCAGCTGCCCGATCACTTCATTGTCTACACAGCTACGCAGCCGTCTGGTCGTGATCCGATTTGATTTGCAAGAATTCAATCCGTTGCCGCTTTGATGTCCGGGGATTAAACAGAGAATAGACTTTAGTGGCGCGTAATGGCAGTAGGTGCGGGGAATGCATATACGGAATTGAATGCCCGAGTTATGAGCGAGAGAGATCTGCGCCTGTGTGCCGATTAAAAAGAAGGTTCGCGGTCGCATTGTGCTGTCCGAACGAAATACTGCTCCGTGAGAGACGCATGAATTGAATTGAATTCCGTTTGGTCAGAGCTTTCACATGGGCTGGAGGCAGGCAGCGCATTCATATGGCCGATGGCTGCTCCCCAGCATTACTCCTTTTTCGTTTGCTGGTGCACCGAACCATGACTGCTGGTCAATCAATGATCCCCCAACCTCTTTCTGCTTGCTCTGACCCGAGTTATAACTTTTGCACACCGACCGGACCAGACGAGACGAGCAACAAAAAGGGCCAAGGAAAAAATTACTTGGAGCGGTGCATTTCGCTTGAGTTACACGAAAGTTGGCGGCAATTTGCGGGAGATCCTCCATATGCTCTCTCGCGTGATGTGTCGTGGTTTGCAAGTGACTTACTGTGGGACGATCATGACACAGTATTGCATTCGATGTGGGCGCGTCGCCTCATCACTGGCCGATTAGGATGTGTGAGCTTACTTTTGTTTTTGCGCACTTGTTGCATTAACAAGTAGTGAATCTTTTTGTGTTTACATACATGCCAGTATGCCACCTCTTTGTTAACTTGCTCGAGGAGCCATCAGCGTGTCGAAAGTGGGCGCAGCTAACATTGTTGTTTAAAAGCAGCGTGGCGGTTCACACTTGGCAGATCGACAGCTACTGCTGCTGGTGCCACAACATGGTACACGATACGTCTTCTGCAAATAGGAGTATAAGATACTCCTCGCTCACTCGGTGCTGCAGATGACCTGCCGGCAATTTAACTAATCGACGGGTTGGACTTTCCGCTTGCTTTGTACTATAATTTGTTATCTCTCTCTGTCTGAAAAATGGCGAGCTGCTACTCTTCCTACTACAAATACTACTACTCCACCGTGCATGCATGAGCGTGGAATAGTAGCTGCCTGGAGAGTTCCGATTCGTCGTCGGCTGCCTGTTCCACGTTTTTGTATGCTATACGACTACGAGACGCCAAAATCTAGGACTGGATCAGTGCTAATGATGGCGTCCTAATCACCCAACGACGCTGGGATTTGTGCCGCGGACAGAGGGGAGGGAGGGGGGTGGTGCCTGCCACTGGGCAGTTGAAAAGTCAACCTGCTCCGCCAAGTGGGGACGGATTAAAATAGAAAGGTCAGCACGGACATTGTCTCCCTCAAGGACTTGTCTGATTGGACACGGATTATTCCGGCCAAAATATTATTTGCGGATTGAAATAGTAGTAGTAAAAGGCACGGCGGCGAGGAGTCTGATTCTTTTTGCCCAAACCAGCGCCAGCAGCCCGTTTCTCTTTACACGAACTTGTCTCAACACGTCAACAGCTGGTGTGTTGACATGGCAAAATAACATGTTGGGGTAAAAAAAGAGTTGTCATCTGCTTACAAGTATATTAGGGTAGTTGCGATGCACCCTGCAAAACATATGCCAATCGATAGTTTTGGGGGTGGGAGAGGATACAGACGTGTGGGCGAACTGATAAACGCCCACACACCAGCCCATCTACGTGCGTTGAAAAACCGACGTGTGGGAGAGGAGACGGGCATGTGGGCGAATTAATAAATGCCCACACACCAGCCTCTCTGCGTGCGTTGAAAACTGACGTGTGGGCAAACTGCTAAACGCCACACACCAACATCCCGCATGTGAAAACGGACGCGTGGGTGACCGGATGAATGCCCACACACCAACCCAATCCTACGTGGCATAAAAAATCTAGCAAAACATGACAAGATTTGTGCAAACTCAAACCGACGTTGATCCATGCATGCGCGTGGGCGAGATGCGTGGGGGTTAGTATTTCTGATAAATAAACGATCCATACAATGACCGTTTGTTGAGCTGACCAGGAGAATCTCCGCGTTGCTCTTGTCCGTCCGTCGCACTTGAGTTTGCAAAGTACCGCATGATGTGGGCACCCGACCCGACCTGACCCGACCCCGACCCCGAAGAGACGCCGCGCGCGCAGACCGACGAGCGACGCGGCAACGGAAGCCATTCATGGCGTGCACTGTGGGCGCTGGCCCAGGAGGTCGCCGATCGCATGTTCGCTCGCTCGCTTCGGAGGCAAGCCGCCTAGCCTAGCCTAGCTAGTGCCGGTAGTTTTCGCCGCGGGGACGCTCGCTCACTGCTCAGCACCTCAACCGCGACGGATGTGAGATCGGCGACGACCGATGGGTGGGCTGGGCGCGCGATGATGGCGAGGGCGAGGCTTATTGGACCGGCTCGATGGGCGCTAGTGCGCGTGGTTGACCGGCGGGCCGTGCTGTCGTTGCGTCGCGGGCGGCGAGTGCGACGGCCACAGCCGTGGTGCGCGGCGTAATCATCCCCTTCGCTTTCCAGCCAGCCTTTCCATCTCGGGCGCGCGGTGGTAACGGAAGGTCGACGACGGATCGCTTGCTGTCGGGCGGGGCACGCACATCTGCTGGCTGCTGCTCTGGGTCTTACCGGCCGTCTCAGTTGGTGTTACTCCGTCTTTGTTCCATCGTTTTATCTTGGCGTCAAAGCATGGATGGATGAAGTGGCGATGGAGTTGGTGCGCTGTTGCAACAAGCTCTCTCGTGTGCCAAGTGCGCATGATGACTGGCTGGCGACCGGTTGATTAGGGGCTGGCGTGTTGTGGGGGTGATCTAGCGGGTTGATTGGGTGCTGGTGTGTGTTCAGTGGGGTGGGGTGGGGTGAGGCCTTGAGGGCAGCCATGCACATGCACGTACCCCCTCCACCTCGGAGCTGAAAACGAAAAGGTCTTGGGGTAAAATGAGGGCCTGGTTTACGTACGTCAACTAGCTGAATCCTGTAATGAGAGGATACAACACACAAGCGTCTGCCTTTTCGTTTGGCTTTCAGGTTGATCCCCGGCCTGCCGCTCCTAACGAGCATCCGTCAAACATGTACGCATAACGCAAGGAGTGTACAGTAGTAGGCCACTATAATAGTACATTGTGATGATTATGGTAGTCATATCCCACGGTTGAATTGACTTTGAGAAGACATCAAGAAAGAAACCACGGTTTGTTTTCACATAACCGCACGTTTTAAGATAACCTGTAATGGCTCTCGCAAAATGTGCAAAGAAGACCGCTCTAACGCGAACCGATGGTGAGATTTCTTATGGTGGAAGCGACCCATCCTTGATTGTGGTCAGTGTATGTGAGCATCTCCTCTCAGAAAAAAAGGAAAAAAAAATATGACCATCTCTTCAGAAAAAAAGGAGACCCTTCTCACTTGCAGAAATGGATAGTGACATTTCAAACCGCTGCATGCTTCCTAACCCTTTGAAATCATCAGTGCCAACTCAAAGAAAACCAGGGAAATAATGAAACATCAAGTGGAAACCGAGTCTTCTTTAAGCCCCCACTATATTTATTGAACCAAGCGATTTCTCCTTAAAACTACAAAATAAATCCTCAACTATGAATTTATCCCAAAATATCAAACCCTAACACCTAAATTGGAACATATCGTGTTAGCCTTGGCATAGCAAAACCATGTCGGCAAGTTCAAAGATTGGGATTGCTCACTTTAGTATGGATGCATTTCATAAGTTAGATTATGATCTACTTAATCAAACAAGTTGCTAATATTCCTGCATCTACCTTTTGCACAAACTATAAAATAAGTTCACCAAATTAAGCAATTTCCTGATATAGTTATTGTTATCTCAAATTTATTGACACCATTCCGCAAAATTTTACACAACGTGTGTGTCCATCTTTGAGTTTGAGAATTTCATGGGACTAGAGAAAAGGTATAATAATAGGTTAACAAGTGACAATATATGGCTGGTTATGGGTGACTTCAACCTCTTTTGCCAAGAGGCTGATAAGAACAACCTTAACCTAAATCTTCGGATAATGGATCTCTCAGGGAGCACTCTCTCTTTCTATTCGCTCTATGAAGGGAATCCACCTTCAGAATAGAAGGTTGAATAGGAAGTTTACATTGAGCAATGAGTGTGAAAACCCAACTCTCAAACTCGACATGGCCTTCTACAACCCTGCTTGGGACCTTCACTTCGGTAACCACACACTCGATGTTCTACCCTCACAGCACATATTTTAGCTAAGGAAGGTCGTAGAAATAAAGTTTGTAAAACATGGCTACATGTACCCCGCGTAAACCTGGTCATATGTCAGGCCGGGTTTTGAGTTGGGTTTTAAAAAGCCCGAACCTCGAACTACAAGCCTGAGCCTGCACTGAAGCCGGAAGATGCCCCTTTCCGCAAGCCCCATGCCTGGACTAAAAACAAGCCCGAACGCCCAGCTCAAATGTTGTTTTCAGAACGCGCACAGGTAAGCCCGTCCGAAGTGCCGCAAAACTAAAGTCTGGGCCCGGCTCGAAAACACTTTCAGACTGCGAAATGGAGCCCAACCCAGCCTGGTTTTCGGGCCGGGCTGCGCATGATCAGGTTTGCCACCCTTGGCTTGGTGCTCTAGGAGGGTGCCAAAATTTCTGAATAATAAAATGCACCAATTTCCATCTCAAAGAAAAAACACTAACGAGTTCAACTATTTTGCCACTTTGGT